TACATTTATAAATGTAGTATCTCTCAAATAATAAAGGCAGGATTGCCAAAAAAAAAAAAAAAAAAAAAATAATTATATTAGACTAATTCTACTTTATTTTTAAATAGTATAAAAAAATCTTTTATAAAGCTGAAAATATAGCATTAACAAACTAATTTAATAAAATAATAGGGTATTAATATTATAATAATAGTTGAAAAAATAATACCAAACCACTACTTAATGCTTTCTATTGAACAATTTCTTTAACTTATAACAATAATAACAATAATAAATATTTATTGCAGTTTAATAGTAATAACCTGGTAACAAATAAAATTTATAATCTCAATTTGAATAATTTGATGTCTATTAATAATAAATATATTAGATCTGATAGCAATGATAATTCTAGATATAATAGTAATAATACTAAGTCAGTATAAGTATTTAAAAGCATATTTAAAATATTTAAAAAATTTATAAATTTTATTAATTTATCATTTTTAAATCTAATAACACTAATATTTCTAGTACTCAAAAAACTAAACAACTATACATACTTAAAGTATACTTATAAGATTTGTAATATATTTATTAATTTTTATTATTCCAGAACTAATAACCTCAAAACAAACAATTCTGAGTCCAATTCTATATCTAACTTCATATTTAATATGTCTAACTCTATATCTAACTTTATGTCTAACTTTATGCCTGATTCTATATCTAACTCTATGCCTGATTTTATATCTAACTCTGCTATATCTAATTTTACTCTTAATATATTTAACTTTATATTAAAAAATATTTTTAAAAAAAATAAAAGCAAAATTTTTAAAAGCTCTACTAAAGATTCTACCTTTTTAAAAAGTTTTTCCAAAAGCTTTTTTAAAAGTTCTTCCAAAAAATCTTTCAAAAAAAAAAATTATCTGAATGTTTCTATTAATATATTAATAATAAAGATAAAAATAAAGATTATATTAAGCAATAAGATAATAAAAATGTGATTTTTAGTAATTGTATATAATTAGTATTAGTATAAATTTAAATATGCTATATAATTAGTATAAGTATAAATTTGTAATACAAATTGAATATATATATCTTATAAAAAATAAATATAATAAAATATAAAGCAATATCAGCTAGCAGAAATTCTGTAAAAATTTATTTTTTTTTATTTTTTTTTTAATATTTAAGATAAGACCATGCTTTTATCTTTATTAAACTTAATAAAAACTTTTTACAGGATTGAAAAAGGTTTTATATTTTAAGTTTATTACCAATAATAAGAACTCAGACATATAATTAAGAGCCTAAGCTAAGTATATTTAAAGATTTATCTGTAGTCTAAACCTTTCTGTAAAAAAAAAAAAAATATATATATATATATATATATATAAGAAATAAATCAATTAAAATTTTGTAGATATAACAACTTTTTCTAACAATCTCTTAGACCAACTTTTTAAAACCAAATTTTTAACAAAAAAAGTAAAACCATATTAGAGAAGAAGAATATAAGACTGATAAAAACTATAAACTAACACTTATTATTTAAAGATAGTTCTTATACACTATCTGCTAATAAGTTTAAAGCTTATTACTTATTATGAGGATGGCATTAGTTATTTAGAAGTAGTTTTCATATACTACTTGCTAACAAGCTTAAAGTTTATCACTTATCAAAAAAAAAAGCAGCAGTGCACTCAGATCTACTTGTATTACTACTTTTGAAAAAACACATACTCTTCTTGAAAAAAAATACTAGATCTATATTCTTTACTATTATCCACTTGTATTTTTAACAAAATTTTTAAAAAAAGTAAACAAAACAGCTTACTCTCATCAAAAGATTAGCATTGTTTATCTTTTTCAAATTGAGACAACCAGATAAATTGCAACCACATGTTTGGTGTGATTATAAAAATAAACATGGTACTACCTACAGAAAATTAGAATCTTCTATTTAACCAGTATCCAGATTTGGTTATTTATTAGAAAGAAGGTTTTATTTAAAGTAAAATATTACAATAAAGATATACTATAGTTATATTAGTTATATAATTTTTACTATTTGACTACCAACTATTTCTCAATAGAGATAGATTAGTTAGTCTATAGAGGCTTTTTTTTTGTTTTTTTTTTTTTATATTCCCTGTTTCCCTATTTTTTTTTCTTTTTGATTCCTCTTTCATTATATGTTTTGTTTTTAGTTTTAGTTTTTTTTTTTTTCTCTTAATATTAATTCTATATTGGTAATATAGATTTTTATTTTCTTGTGCTTTCAGTAAAGAAAGAAAGATTGAAGAGATTAGTTCTCAACAGGCCAACAAAATCTTCTAACTAAAATTTTTTTTGAATTTAGTAGGCAGGTTACTTTTGAGTATGATATATTGTAGCCAGGAGATGTTGGGCTTATAATTTGATAAAAATATAATTTATTTGCTGTATTAATAGTTAAATAAACTTTTTTTATATTTGGGCTCCAACAAAACTATCAAAGAGCTAAAAAAAAATTTTATAGATATTGTTAAATATAATAAAGTAAAATGTAATATTAGCTAGCAAAAATCTATATATTTTTTTTTTAAATGTTAAGGTGACCACTTGGGTCCTTGGCACTTTATTAGTACAAGCGGTTGGCCATATGTCCGAAGACTTGACTACATGTTATATCGGTATTACAAGAGTACAACTAGCCACACGTACAACTTTTGGTTAT